AAGAAGGAAATAAATGCTAAGACAGAGCCGTCAACTGCCTGGCTTAGTGTATTTTGCTGTTATTGAGTGGAGTAGTCTACAGATCTCTGTTAGCTCTAGTCAGTTTACAGTGTTGTTCAAGTCTTCCATGTTCTTGTTGATCTGTCTAGTTTACATATTCATTATTGAAAGTGAAGCACTGAGGTTTCCAACTATTATTGCTAAATTATCTATTTCTCCTTTCAAGTCTGTCATTTTGCCTCATGTATTTTGGGACTCTGTTGATGTTTTGCATTGTTTTATCTTTTTTGATGGATTGACCTTTATCAAAATTTCCTTCTTTTTCTCTAACAATCTTGGCATATATTAGTGTGATATAGTATAATTAATTCATATAATGTTTTATTTGATATCAGTATATAGTTATTCCAGCTTTCTTTTAGTAACTGTATACATGATATATATCTTTACTGTTTTACTTTCAACCTATTTGTGTCTTTGGATCTAAAATGTATCTCTTGCCAAAACCGGTTTGGCTCAGTGGATAGAGCGTCGGCCTGCAGACTGAAAGGTCCCAGGTTCGATTCCGGTCAAGGGCATGTACCTGGGTTGTGGGCACATCCCCAGTAGGAGATGTGCAGGAGGCAGCTGATCGATGTTTCTCTCTCATTGATGTTTCTAACTCTCTATCTCTCTCCCTTCCTCTCTGTAAAAAATCAATAAAATATATTTTAAAAAATAAATAAATAAAATGTATCTCTTATAAGAAAGTACATATTTGTATCATGTTGGCATATTTTTATCCATTCTGCCAATGTCTGTCTTTTAATTGGAGTGTTTAAGTGTTAATTTTATTGAGAATCTTTTGTATATGATGAGCTGCTTCTCTCTCACTGTTTTTAAGATTCTCTCTTTGCCTTTGGCTTTTATTCACAGTGCTGCTGGCCATGAGATCAACGTTAATGAGTCAACAATATATATTAAATAAGGTATCATGAAGTAGGTACACACATACAAAAAGGTTATGTATTGATCAATTATGAAAATGTGTTCCAAAACTCAGGAACCTAACTTTGAAGTTCCCCTAGGACAGTGGTTCTCAACCTTCCTAATGCCGCGAACCTTTAACAGTTCCTCATGTTGTGGTGACCCCCAATTTCATTGTTACAAATTGAACATAATTAAAGCATAGTGATTAATCACAAAAACAATATGTAATTATATATGTTTTCCGATGGTTTTAGGCGACCCCTGTGAAAGGGTCATTCAACCCCCAAAGGGGTCGCAACCCACAGGTTGAGAACCACTGCCCTAGAAGCAATGGTTCCATGTTCTATAAATCAGTGTTGGCAATGACTTCATAGAATGTAACTCCCACAAATAACAAGAATCAACTGTACAAGTACCCTGCTGCAATAGATTAAAACACATAGCTACATATCTACACCCTTTTCATCAAGAGAATACTTCCCCATACTTTGAATCTGGGCTGGCCTTTGACTCCCCTTGGCCAACATGATGTGGCAGAAGGTTGTGCAAGCTCAAGACCTTTCAGCTTTTACCTTTGTCCCGTTGGAACACTGTCCTGGGGCTATCACAGAAGGAAGTCAGCTGAGCCTACTGGAGGAGGAGAAGCCACCGGGGCACCTCGGCCAACAGCCAGCACCAATGGCAGGCACATGACTTTTCAGCTCAGCTGGTCCTCCAACCAAATACAGCTGTAGAAGTAAACCCAGGCAAAACCTTCAAAGGAGTTGCCCAGCCTTCTCACAAAAACATGAGAAATAATATACTATGTTGTTGAAAGGATAAGTTTGAGGTGGTTTATTTTACAGGAACCAATAACTGATACATCTACCTGCTTGGAGTTCAGTGTGGCCGTGGGACTTGCTTTTTGCAAATGAAATATGACCCATGTCACTTCCAGGTGGAAGCCCCTCCCCCGGCTCTGTCCCTGCTGTGACAATCAGTGTGTTGACAAGGAAGAGCCATAAGAACTGAACGCTGAGTCAACATGTAAAAGCAGTGCCCTGGATAACTGCCCAAGGCAACAACAGATATGGTGTGAGCGATAAACTTTTGTTGCATAATCCTATGATCTGAGGGCTGTTTGTTACCATAGCATATCTAGCATATCTCGATCAACACAGTTGGAATAGCAGGACTGGAGATTTAAACAGACATTGTCTGCCCCCCCCCCCCCCCCCCCCCGGAGATCTCTAGATTTCTCTGGGAAAAGGAATTTAGGCTGACAGTTCAGTGCAAAGTTAGGCTCTCTAGGATTAATTACACATACTAATCAACCTCTTTGAATCCATTCATTCTATATACATTGATTGGTGTCCTTACCAGTTAATTGTACACAAGACATTCTTGGGCCACTCTGGTGCTAATCTGATAGTCTTTGGAGAATAAAGAGGTGATCCTGAACCAGGTCAGGAGATATAGCATGCCGAGGAGAACAGAACACCGGTCAGCTGACCTTGCTGTCTTTGCTGAACTGTGTCCCATTATCACAGTCAAGTTCACCTTACAGCTCAACTAACTTGCAACAATTTTCTCATGTGTCAAGTGAAATGAGAACTAAAATGTGCCCTGAAATCTAAATGGTAGCTGATATAAAAGCAATGATCCCTCAAAACAGTTACTATATTATTGTCCTAAAAGACCTAGTTACCTTCCCTGCCTTTGATATGTAAATGTATAACATATGCATATATGTGAATATGGATAAATGTTTGCACCTTCATTTTTATTTTATTTTATTTTTTTGCAAATATGTATAGATTTATTCTAAGTAAAACAAAGAACTCAAAAGTCCATGAATTTTGAGAACGGAAAAACCAGTTATGGAACACTGGCCACTGGAACACCACTCAGCCGTGAAAAGGGAGTGAACTGCAGGCACAGGCTGCTGGGGTCCAACCCCAGCAGGTCCAGGGGTCCCCAAAGGTGTGGACGGAGTCGGCGAAGAAAGAATGACACGGAGACAGCGTTCAGTTGATCAGCAGCCTAGCCAGGATCTCTAGCCAGGATCTTTAGCCAGGATCTCCAGCCAAGTTCTGTTCAGGATCTCCAGCCAAGTTCTGGTTAGGATCTCCAGCCAGGTTCTGTGTCCATGTTCTCTTGATAGGTTCTCCAGGTTCTCCAGCCAGGTTCTGTCACCAGGTTCTAGTCAGGTTCTCTTGCCATGTTCTATCCAGGTTCTGTAGCCAGGTTCTGTCTCTAGGTTCTTCAGCCAGGTTCTCTCACTAGGTTCTGTCTCTAGGTTCTGTGGCCAGTTTCTGTCCAGGATCTTTTGCCATGTTCTCTCACTAGGTTCTGTGTCTAGGTTCTGTCTCTAGGTTCTGTCTGCACCTTCATTTTTAAACACACACACACACACACCCCAACTAGTTACTTCTAAAGATGGGGCCCTGCATGGAGGAAGACACTGGTTAGGTTTGCAAATTGTAGCACTGCTATAATCTGAATGTGTCCCCTCGCCCCAAATTCATGTTAAATCCTAATGTCCAGTGTGATGGTACTAGGAGGTATAACCTTTGGGAGGTGATTAGGTCATGAAAGCAGAGCCCTCATGAATGGGATTAGTGCCTTTATAATAATAGAGGTTCCAGAGAGCTCCCTAGGCCGTTCCTTCACGTGAAGACACAAGGAAAAGTCTGTGACCTCGAAAAGGGCTCTCCCAACCATGTTGGCACTTTGACCTCAGACTTCTAGCCTCCCGAACTGTGAGAAATAAATTTCTGTTGTTTATAAGCCTGAGGTATCTATCTACACTAATAAAAGAGAAAAATGGTAATTGGCGTACGACGCTACCCTTTTCATTGGCTAATCAGGGCTATATGCAAATTAACTGCCAACTAAGATGGTGGTTAATTTGCATATGTAGGCACAATGTAGGGAGGCGAAAGAGAAAGCAGGAAGAAGCCCCCTGCCACTGACAGTGATCGGAAACCCAGGGGGGAGCTAAGAGCTGGGGCCGCCTTTGCCCTGCCCCCCAGCCATGATCGGAGAATCAGGCGCCTTTGACGCCCTGGCCAGTGATAGCAGGAAGTAGGGGTGGAGCCAGTGATGGGAGCTGGGCACGGTCGAAGCTGGCAGTCCCGGGAGCTAGGGGTCCCTTGCCTGGGAATAAAGCGGAGCCCAAGATCGCGGCGCCCCCCGCTGCCACTGCGGGTCCCCGCTGCCCGGGCCAGATGCCTCAGCCAGAGGCGTCCTGCAGGGGCAGGGGCAGAGCCCGCGCAATCGCGGCGCCCCCCACTGCCACTGCGGGTCCCCGCTGCCAGGGCCGGATGCCTAGGCCAGAGGTGCTAGGCCTGGGCAGGGGCGGAGCCTGCAACCGCGGGGAGCTGGGGGTCCCCTGCCCAGGCCTAATGCCTTGGCCAGAGGCATTAGGCCTGGGCAGGGGCAGAGTGGGAGATCGCGGGGAGCTGGGAGTCCCCTGCCCAGGCCTAATGCCTTGGCCAGAGGCATCAGGCCTGGGTGGGGGGCGGAGCCGGGGACTGGGGGGATATGATGGTCCCCTTTCCCAGGCCTGAAGCCTGGGTCAGAGGCGTCAGGCTTGGGCGGGGGGTGGAGCAAGTGATCAGAGGAAGATGGGGGTCCCCTGCCCAGGCATGATTCCTGGGCCAGAGGCCTCAGGCCTGGGCAGGGGTCAGAGCCAGTGATCGGGGAGAGATGGGGGTCCCCTGTCCAAGCCTGACACCTCTGGCGGAGGCGTCAGGCCTGGGCAAGGGGCCGATCAGGCGATCGGAGGGTGATGGGGGTCTACGCCTCTGGCTGAGGCATCAGGCCTGGGCAAGGGGCAGAGCCAGCAATCGGAGGGGTTTGGGGGTCCCCTGCCCAGGCCTGATGCCTGGGCCAGAGGCATCAGGCCTGGGCTGGGGGCAGAACCAGTGATGGGGGGAAATGAGGGTCCCCTGCCCAGGCCTGACGCCTCTGTCAGAGGCGTCAGGCCTGGGCAAGGGGCCGATCCTGCGATTGGAGGGTGATGGGGGTCAACGTCTGAGGGCTCCCAGTATGTGAGAGGGGGCAGGCCGGGCTGAGGGACACTCCCCCCACACACACACCCAGTGCATATATAAAAGCCTAAATGACCCAATGACTGTTAGACCGTTCGCTTGGTAGCTATAACGCACAATGACCACCAGGGGGAAGACACTCTGACCAGTAGAGGAGGGAGCCCGATTCCTGGCAGAATGAGAGTGGGTTAGGTTGCTGCTGAGGCCCTGTCAGCCCCAAATCTGCTTCATCCACACCCTAGACCCAGAGAGGAGGGAGCCTGATTCTGGGGTGTGTCACCCGAGAACCACCCTCTTGCAATCCGGGACCCCTCGGGAGATGTCAGAGATGTCCGGTTTGGGCCCTATCCCGGCAGGCCAGGCTGAGGGACCCCACTGGTGCACGAATCTGTGCACTGGGCCTCTAGTTTTGTTATAATAGCTATATAGACTATGTTTCTGCACAAAATACCCTGAGCTTAACAAGGTGGGGCTGTGTTAACAAACAAGGGAGATTTTCATTGCCCACAAAGCAGGCGTAGGTCTGGCATCACCCAGAGACAGAAGATGGATTTACAGGTGAGATAAGAGAGGGCTGAGGAGATGGAATTGTGCTTGACCAAGTTTGGATACATTTGAACTAACGATGAGCACCATTATTCCATTTTGTGGTCAACGTTGGTGGCTGCTTCTGATGGGCGTCAATCAACAGGAGAATTTAAACCACTGGAAGAACCAGATATTTCTGACTTTCCCTATAATTTATTTCACCCAGTGGGAATTCACTATCTTTTCTGCAGAACAGGAATGGCTCCTTCCGATGGCTGCAATCCCAGCCTCTGTAACTGTATAATTCATTTTCCAAAACTGCTGGGTCCACAATTTCCATTGACTCTGGCCACATATTCTTCCTTCCCCAGCACGCCTTTTTCTACAATTCTGGATTTTGTGAGTCAAAGTTTGGGACTCTGGCAAGGATTCAACTGGAGCCTAACTTGAAAAAAAAATAGATCTGAATCTGAGTTTAAAAGGGAATGATTTGGAACAGATGTAAAGGCGATCTTGGGAAACATTTATCTTCAGATTTGGAGATCAGTGCTCTGACGATATGGGCCAACAATAGATCCCCCTTTTCCACAATGAAATCTCCAGTTTGTGACTTGAGCACTTAGGCTGCCCTCATTTTCACCTCATGCCCATCGAGTCCCATTCCACTTCCGCAGTCCCCCACTCCCACTAAATCCAAAAGCACCAATTAGTAACAAATTTTACTGAACCTTTCATAGGGAAACACAGGATACATGCACATCACACGGCCACATTCCACCCCATTTCTCATCTCTGCTTTTCCTCCGAAGTTCCTTCCCCAATCTCCTTTTCTGCCTCTCTAGCCCCTGCTCACACCACTCCCATCCCCCAGGCCCCCTTTCAAAATACCACCACCAGAAAAACAGACACCAGCAAACATTTGGCACTATAAGACCCACAATTTGGGAAGTGATTAGGTCATGAAAGCAGAACCCTCATGAATGGGATTAGTGTCCTTGTAGTCTGGAGATCATGCTTCTGGGGATGCAGGTGGAGGGTGCAGCTCAGGTTCCCCCACCCAAAGGGAGGCCCCCAAACATGAGGTTGAGTTGAGAGAGACCCTGGACCTTCTGCTCTGAACTCTGGGACAGGTGGTGGCATCACAAGGCTCCCTCAACCAGCGAGGAACCATTGGTTTAGGCCTCCATGGAGCTCAAGGCAGGAAGCTGGCTGGCTACATGGTCTTGGTTGACCCCTAATGGCTGCATGGTTCTGTGACTGACTTCCTTGGTGAGTTAAAAAAATTGAGTTACCAAGAACATAAGCACCTGTGAGAAGCCAGGACACTTTCCCTGGAGATAGAAGTTCTTGTGAGAATCAAGAATAAAGGGCATAGGAAGAAGTCAGAACAAATGACAGTGGTGTTAACAGAAAATACTGAGAACTAGAAGACAGTTTCCCATCTTGCCTAGCCTCAGACTGGCTGTTCTGGGCCTTGGGAAAATCACTCCGTTTTTTGGAACCCTCATCTTTACTATAAAAATGGACATGGCCTTCCTACTTTGTAGGGATTATTGGGAGGCTAAAATGAGCCGGTGCATAGGAAAAGATGTTAAGGGAGAGGGAGGAAGCTGAGCAATGAATTAACAAGCTGGCCTGCTTTTCTTTTCAGCCTGAATACAGAGACTCTAGGTACAGTTTGGCCAACCTTTCCCAGGCAAGCTCTTATGGTTGCCAACATGTTGGTACTTGTGGCAAGCTTACTCCTTGTTTCAAAAGAAAGCTTTTTTTTTTTTTTTTTTAATTGTGAAACCGTGAGAGATTGCCCTGGCAAACCACTGTAGCCAAAAGACTGGGATCCTTGGGATGAATGTCAGAATTCTCCCTCATGGAGTGCCGAGGAGAGATTGTTTCAAGGGGTAGATACGCTTGGAGGAGCAAAGGCTTTGGGGGCCAGAACTGGAGGGAGACGCGCTAGAAACACAGCTGGGGCCAAGCCCAAGAAGGTCCAAGAAAGAAGCCAGAAGAGTCTCAAGAGGATTGGTGGGTGGTGCTGTAGAAAGACTGGGGGGTACTAATAATGCCCCCCCACCTTGTGGAACACACCAGGGATTTAAAAGAGCTTACTTGTTCCCTACTGCATTGGCTTCTCCAAAGAACCCTATGTTGTATTACACTGACCTCACGAAATTGCCCTATTGGCTCAGAGAGGTTAAGTGTGGCTTTCACGAGGTCACAGAGTAACTAGTGGAACTTGGCAGATAAATGAGGTGGGGTAGTTTATAAAGTGAGGGCATTTGGATTTCTTTTTTTAAATGTATTTTAATTGATTTCAGAGAGAATGGGAGCGGGAGAGAGAGAGAGAGAGAGAAACATCAATGCTGAAAGAAAGAATAATTGATCCCCTGCCTCCTGCACGCCCCCTACTGGGGATCAAGCCTGCAATCCAGGCACATGGCCTTGACCAGAATCGAACCCGGGACCCTTCAGTCGTCAGGCCAATGCTCTATCCACTGAGCCAAACGGGCTAACACAACATTTGGATTTCTTGACCCACAACTTCTCCATGTTGCTAAAGGCAATGCGAGTCTAGAGAGTGGATAAGTTGTCAGTGGCAACTGGGGGTCTAGCGGGGCCACCATTTCAGTGAAAAGGCAAATAGCTTCCTTTTTCAAAATCCCTAACTCCTTGTTTACCATGAACCAAACCCAGTTTACACGTCCCCCAGTTCTGCTGGGCCCCACCTGTCCCATCCTCCCCTGCTCCCAACACCCCCAGGAGAACACAAGGCTCCTGACACCAGGCCAGATATTAATAAAAGAAATGTGGGCACACGGTCTGGCTTCCCCTGTGACTACCAGGAAAGGCTAGGTGACACAGCTCAGAGCTGTGTGGGAATTAACTGCCAGGGAGAGAACTTGGACCATGAAAGACAGAGGGTGGAAAGAACCCGTAGATAATTCCTTCGCTTCCTCTCCCACTCGGAAGGGTGGAGGAGCCACTTGGCCCTGGAAGACCCAGTGTGACTGAGCTGAAGGCCGCTGTGCTTCCCAGTGAAGCTGGAGTTTGCTTGTATGTGCTGTCCTTCATTCCCTGCCTCACCCCTACACACACACACACACACACACACACACACACACACACACTTTTGCCACCTTGATACCACACTTCCCGGTTAAGCCTAACACAAACTTGGCCGCAGATACTTTTTTCTGGGGAGTTAAGATAATCACTTTGACCCAGGTTCTCATTTCTTACCTCATCTGTAGAAGGAAGCGGTAATCTCTGTGCAGGCTCTTTCCCAGAGGCGTAGGACCCTTCCCCTGGTGACACCCAGATCCGTGGTGAGGATTAGCATGATTTTCGGGCCTGCCCTTCCTTCTGGGCTGAGCCCTCAGCCAGGTGCATTGCATGAGCTGAAAGCCAGCAGAAGGTGAACCTCTCAGGTGAGGTTCTCTGGGTACAAGGGTGCTAAGGCCCACAACTTCTCCATGCCCCACCACAGGTATGTGGACTTCCTTTATACAAAAGGACAAATCTGCAGGGAACAAGCAGCTTCAAATCAGAATCTCTAAAATTAGCAAGCCATTTAGATCCAGAAGTGATCCATGTCTATAAAATGAGATCAATGCTCTCCCTACTAAATAGCAAACAGATGAAAAGAAAAGTAACTTTTATACTTCTAATTGACAACCCATTGTGTACATCAAGCATGTCAAACTCAAAGGCTAACATGGGCCAAATAAATGAGGCATGCGGCCTGCAGGCCCCGAGTTTGACATGCTTGGTGTACACCATTTGAAACAATGTTTCTGGGTCCTGAAGCCCCCATGAGGGAGCAGTTTTAAATCCCCTGGAAGAGGGAGCTCTGGAAATGTCAGGTGGGGGTGTTCTCACTAAAACCCTGTGGGAACAGTCATAGTTTCCACTCGCTGTCCCCCTGCAGGAACCTGTCACACCTCACATTTGGTAACTATCAGGCAGGGGCCAAGGAGAGGCCATGTTTGAGGCCAAGGTGCAGCTGTAACCCGCGTGTTCCCAGGGAGTGGCCCTGGCTTGTCCCCAGGAGAGCTGCTGTCGGGGAACAGAGCCAGCTGGAGGCAGCAGGAGGACAGGAAGCCCAGGACCCTCCCCTAGATGTGTGAGAGCCGAGTCCTCCAGGAAAAGCCTGGATGTAGACCTCCCCCTGCTGGCTTCCTTCCCTTCCCCCTCCAGTCACAGCCCACTTTGAACCCTGACCCCTCCTCTGTCCCTGGAGTCCACCTCCTGCTCTTCCTCTCTCTGGTGGTGCCTGGAGCCATCAGGCCTCTGCCTTCTGTCACAAGATGTAAACTCACACTGACCTGGCCTCCAGCTTCCCTTCCCTCTAAACTAGTCTTGCACACCACCTGCAAACCAATGCATCAGTATCATGGGGACGGGGTGGGATGAGTTCAGAGTGTGGTTCTCCAGCCCTGGCCTGGCCTAGCGAATGAGATGCTGGGGTAGTGCCCAGGGGATTCTGCTGCAGGCTAAGCCCTCCTTGGCTGCCCCTCTAATCTTATTAAACCCAAGGTTGCTTATCTCACACCTTTGGTTTATGTACTGGGGTGGGTGTGGGTGGGGATGTCTAGATATGCCAGGTGAACTGGTGGGACTGGCCCACCTAAAGCCTCCTTACCTGAGCGACTGCAGAGAAGACACGGCAAGGAGCATAAACCTCATACAGGTTGAGGAAAGTTGGTGTTTGACCTCAAATTGATGCCTGGCCCTGCCCCATGGACTGATGCCTGAGGAGAGAGGGAGCTGTAAGTGAAAACTGAAGGTGCTATTGCACTAAACTTTGTTAAAAGACACACATGCACACAGATACACACGGCACACACTGGGCACAGCAGCAGCTTTCAGATGCCCCTTGGGGAGTCCATTTCTCCCATTTCCCCAGAGGGTAACCCTCTCCCCCGAGGACTCCATGTGTTCCCGATGATGCCTGACTGGAGAATGAAGGAAGCGCCTGTGAAGGGACACCAGGACCTGCTCCAAGACAAAGGTTTCCTCCACTTCCACATTGAGCCTCTCCCTACCTTTCTGGACTCATCGCCCCTCTACCCCTAGCAGGCACTGATTTCGAGTCATTCCAAACTGAAACTTCACCCCTGAGTGGGGTTTGGCTACAACTTCTGGGGTAGGATGGACAGTTGGTGGTTGAGGAACTTAAGCCCTTATTATAAAAACAGGGTTGGGGATTGAGGCAAGAGAGAAGCTACAGAAACCTTTATAAATATGTAGCATTCACTACAATAAAATAACAAGGATGCCACACAGAATAAAGACAATATCTGTGATATTTTGCTCATTTTTATTAATTCTCTAATATTAGAGTTTGTAGGGAGTTCCAGGATCTTCTTTCCCTGTATCTGAAAGGAAATCCTGTGAATTAGTCTTGCTTTGTCCCACACTAAGTCATACACACTAAGGCACTGTCCTCGTTTGTCTTCTTGATTCTTTGGTTAAGTACCATTCTGATTTTTTAAAACGCAGAACTGTTAGTGGGTGTGCTGTTCACAGGTCCCGCAGCTGCACTGTCATGGAGGGAGGGAGTAACTTGGATTCTTAGACAGAAAACATGCAGTTGTCCTGTTGCTGGGGTCAAAAAGTCCTCTCTACTTGAGTGAGATCTCTGGGCCAAAAGCTCACACTGTCTCTGCCTCCCTTCTCTGGGACCTCACCCACCTTCAGCTCCCAGCCAGGTCCACCTCCCTCTATTTTCCTCCACTCCTCCCTGGCCATCTGCTTTCCATCCCTAACCTCCATGCATTCATTAGAATTCCTTCAGCTAAAGGCTATGGAACTGAAGAGCTGTGGGAACCCAGGCAGCCCTTGGACCGCAGCGAGCACAGGTGTGGCCTTGATGCTGCCCATCCTTCTCTCAGCCCCTCATCACCTTCTCTGGCTCCTCCCAGTGGCAGAAATTATAGCTCAAGTCCCAAGAGAAGAGAGAGAATCTGCCCTTCCAACTCCCACAGAAACATCCATTGACAGACTTCAGCTCCACCCAGCAAGGTCACAGAACCATGCCCGCAAGTATCTCTGTGGGAAGAAGACGGATGCTAGGACTGGTCACTCTCTTCACTCACCTCCTTCCTCTCATCTTCCTATAAACCAGTCTTCACAGAGGAGGCAGAGTAATATTTGACTAGTGGAAACTGATTTTATCACTTCCCTACTTAAGATCTTTCAATGACTTCCCATTCCACTTAGAAGAGAATCCAAGAGTTAGGCCATGGCCTAGAAGGCCACATGATCTGGCCTCTGTGACTCCTCCACCCTCATCTCCTACTTTCTCCTCTGTGAGGTTCAGCTGCGCTGGCACCTTTTTGCTCATCCCCAAATACACTGAACTCCTTCCTGCCCCAGGGCCTTTGCACTTGCTCTGTCTGGAGTGCTCTCCCCCTGGAGCTTCCCATAGCTGGCTCTTTCCCTGCTAAGATGTCACCATGGAGAGGCCTTCCCTGACCACCTATTTACAAAGCCTCTCTGCCCCTCCATCACACTCAATCCTCTTACCTTGCTTTATTTTCTACAGCACAGATCGACATTTGCAACTTGCAAAATTATTTATCTACTTGTTTACAGACTGTCTCCTCTGACCAGATGTCAGCTCTACAGGCCAAGGACCTGCTTTCCTTGTTCATGGGTGTGTCCCCTGACTCAACCCAGTGCCTGACACATAATTAATGCTACATAAATGCCTGCTGTGAACAAATGAATCCAGACCTCGAAGAGGAAGGCTTGGCCATGAAAGTGGCACACCCACCTGCAGACACTTGGGTCCAAGAGATAACCAGACCTTAGTTTAGGGCTTAGCCAGCTGATGAAGGTGTGGGTGTTAGTCACCGACAGTGGGTGTTCGCCTTGGCCACCTTTTCTAATACCTTTGTCTCCTTCCACCAGCTCCCATTATCTGCTTTTCCCATGCAAACCTGCTTTCTCACCTTCTTTGTTTTATAATGCCTATCACATAGATTAGACCATGCCAACACTTTCTTTACAGTTAAAAAAAGCTAGATCTTAACCTGTCTGCTAATACAGAGATAGCTTTCCTTAGTTATTATCAAATGTTGGAGGCACTTTTTTTTTTTTGGCTACTTATGAGCCTAGAACAGTTTCTATTTAAATGAGTTTGCCATAAAAAAATCTTACAACATATTTGTAGAATTCCTTTGTTAAACAGCTCTCAAACCATGGAAGATGAGACGGTCAAAGGAAAATTAAGCCGCCACTTAGATACTTAACCGATTTTCTTTTGAGTTTAAATTCATGCTTGTCTGCAATATTATGAACTCAAAATTGCTCTTCCACAGTACAAGCCTCTTAATTAAATGAACACCATTGCTGCAGTTCTGATAAATAAAATGAGCATTTCCACATGAATTACAAGTGCCAACTTGTTAATAGCCTCCCTGAGGTTTTGTTACAAAATCATTAGTATTTCTGTCATAGCTCAGGCGTGATAAATACCACGTTACAATCTGGAAACAAGAATGTTCTTCGGGCAGTTGATTCCCAAGTGTGGATTAGAGAGCACATCAGAGCTTTCCCCTCATTCCTGTTATAGTATGTGACAATAGTTAATTAGTTAGAAAAATCTCATATTGTTCTATTTTAGTGAAACTCACCAAACTCAGATCAGCTGGAAGATGAAGCTGGTCTGAACTTAATAAAATTGGAAAATGGACATTAAAAATAAACTGAATAGCAAACTTCTTAAAGGCAGAGAGCCTGTCTGTCTGTCCTTCCCGAGTATTCAGCTGGGTAATTTGGGCAAGGCACTTAGGTTCCAAGTGCCTCAGTTTTCTGATTTGTAAAATGGCTATAATATAGTACGTGATGCTTCATAGGCCTGCTATGAGGGCTAAATGCTCGGAAAGCACTCAACTCAGAGCCTCACGTGTAATAAACACCCAGCAGATGTAACCTGTTTTCAGGCTTGAAAGAACCCCATAATTATTGTTAGACAATGATGAAATGCAATTTGCTTCCTTTCAACTACTCAAAAGGCTCCCCAAGTCCTTCTAAAGAGAGATCCTATTCAGGCTCCTTCAAAGAATGGATGACTCATTTATAATTCACAGCACTATCCACACACCAACAATTATTGTGCTAAAGTCCTTTAATGAGCTGATTTCTTAATTAAGCCTAACATCCCCCTTGCACTGTTGTTTGTCCTCTGAATTTTCTTCCTAAAACTGTTAAGCAGTTTTGTGTGTCCCTAGCCTAACCGTGTACATTTACACTTTAAATTACAGGCATCTAAAGGAATGAAGTTATACTGTGTTTTAAGTCAATACTACAAAAAATGCACATTTGTTTTGGAGATGGTGTCAGTTCCATCTGGGTTGCCTTTCTCTCTGCCTTAAATTCCCTGTTTAACATTATTTCCATATTGAACAGGGTCTTTTCATTCATTCCACTTTGTTTTTCATAACTTGTTTACTTAGAAAATCCCCATGGTTTTGTTTTTTAAGCCTAGCTAGGCATTTCATTCTTTTGGTGTCTTGTTTCTTGGCTCCAGATAGGTGATAGCAATAGCAAGACGAGAATTAAACAGAGCTTTCAGGATTTCAGAATCAAACTGAGCTGCCCACGACACACCCAGGCTGCCTCAAACTTTGTGGGGCTGGAGAGGGATCAATGGAAGCCCACATTCCTTATGCAGGGAGCCTCTTTCTGCCCCTCCCACTCCAAGCCAGGCAGCCTGTGCACATAAGGTACTCCTAGCTCATTGCCCTTCAAGTTCCTCAGAGCAACATGAGGCTAGAAAGTCCATTTCAAATGCAGAGTCCTCGGCCTCCTTGTGAACTCCAAATTAGAACATGGTGGCCCAGGGAAATAGTCATGATGCCCGGCCTCAGCCCAACCCCATTCTCTTCCCACCAGGCTCCAGCACCATGAAAAGACACACATACAGGCATGTGGACACCCAGCTCTGTGTCCAAACTCTGTCATACCCCCTGCAAATAGTTGCCCCCTGGCCATTCCATGACCTGGCAACATGGTCCACTCAGGGAGGACAGACCTATATACCCCAAGTTCCTGGAGAATGTTTTACAAGGTAGGATGTGGGCTTATACTTCACAAGTGCTGCCCAGGGTCAGCATTCCTCTTGCTTAGATTTAAAGATAGTCATACTGGGCATTATCATTCTTCTCATTGAAGATACAGTCCCTGACCCCAGACTGGGTATTGGAGAAAGGATTCAGTCAAATATAAGAGTGTATTGTTTTGAACACTGTGGTGTGTTCTACACACAATAAAATTTGAGATGAGGTTAAATAAAGGAAAGTGCTTGGATGCTAATGTGGCCTCAGAATCCTCCCTGGAAGAGGCAGGACCTGAACCAGGTCTCAGGTGAAGTGGGGCAACACCCATCCGTTATATTTATACTAGACTTCAGGAGGGTCCTTTCGCTTCCTGCCATTGTTGGACACATCATGTACTTCATTGAACATTCACTTTTCTGCTCATCTTATTTTTGTGTGGCCCTCAGAATGAAGACAAGCTCCTTAAAGACCACCTCTCCCATGACCTGCTGTCCCTGCGTGTGCTTAAATGGTCCCTAAAATGTTCAGATTGGCTCTTCCACCTTCAAGGGCCAAGGAAGTTTCAGAAGCAAAGGGTTTTGTCTGAATCAGGCTGCTTTGGGTTATGTCTACCCAACACAGGCACTGTCCACCTGGCCTGCCAAGAATGGCCCAGCTGTGATAAGAATCAAATCAGACATGGGACATTTTTGTTTTCTCTATCTCTAAATACCATTCTGGGATTTAGGAACTAATTCCCCAGGCTCTGTGTAGCTGTCCTGTAGGTACTTGTCTTCCCCGTGGGCTGGAGCTTGTCCTTTGTAATGCTCATGTTTATAACTATAGAGTTTATTCTTCAGTTTATTCTTTGGCTTAAGCAGCTCCAGAAATAAAGGAGAGAAGACGGGGCAATAGATGTCTCGGGTCTTCAATGGAAAAGCTCAAGATGACTGTCCTGGCTTTTCAATTCCAGAGGCCGTGATGAAAGTGTAAAGAATTTAGACTGCAAAGCACAGCTAGGCTTGGTCCCAAAGCCCTTCTCCCATCCTCCACTGCAAAAGCACTTACTGAGGGTTTTGATGTTCTAGGTCCCCAGGATGCCCAGGTGAGTGGCAAACATTCAGGGAGGGGGCCGGTCTGTTGATCTCCTTCCTCCTCACTTTCTCCATCTGTAAACAGGCAATAATATGGACACTTCTCAGGGATAATGGGACAATTTTAAAAGTGGAAACGGTATACTCTGTGCTTAGGTGGTCAAAATAAATCTTGAAGGGCCCATGTTCTGGGGCGCAGAGGTGTGCTCCTGGTCTGGGCCCTTTGTGTGGCCCTCCGGTGGGGAACCACAGCCGAGGTTGTCAAGGTCCCCAGACAGCCCATGGCCGACAAAGAGCAAGTTCTCTGTGGTTAGCAAATGCAGTGAAACTGCTGTTTCCGTAGCAGAGGATCCCAGCAAGCTTAGCGTCCTTCAAACAAAGAATGAAATGTACCACCTCTTTCCTGAAGCCCCATTAAGTACTGGAAAAAACATGACCAAATTTAACTTCAACATATAATTTTTAGGAAAAGATTAAAGTGTACCCCCTCCACAGCCTTCTAGAGGGTTTCACATGCATCTGGAGGTCAGTTATGACCCTCTCCAAGTTCTCTCACCTCACACAGAACACATCTGCCCTCATAGAACTGAGAGAAGATTCATTGTTTGGGTACCAGTGTCTTTAGGACACGAAGTCAAAGGAAATTCTAGGCAAGGCCCTGTATTTACTGGGAGGGTAAAGAGACCATTTTCCATTTCTCACTTTTCTCTCCAAGGGCACAAACAATAGGCCTGCCCAGCCAAGTTGCTGTTTTCTGTCTCAGAAGCATTCCCAGCGCCAGCACAAAGCCGTCTGCCTTATTAATGTTCTGTGATGATCCCTTCCTGGGCTTTGTGTCCCTCCCACGGGGTTACTAGAGGGCAGACACCAGCAGGAAAGGTGTTGTGGACTCACTTGCACGGATATCACCCCTCAGATTATCAGATTGAAAATGCAGTAATAAAATATGCAACTGAGGACCCTGTATAATTTTTCTGCCAACCTTCTATTTCATTGTTGTTATTAATCCCCACCTAAAGATACTTTATCCATTGATTTTTAAAATTTGTATTTTTATTTTTTTATTGATTTCAGAGAGGAAAGAAGAAGGAGAGAAAGAGAAACATCAATGATCAGAGAGAATCATTGATCGGCTGCCTCCTGCACACCCCCTACTGGGGATCAAGCCCACAACCCAGGCATGTGGCCTTGACTGGAATTGAACCTGGGACCCCAAAATCCGCAGGCTGACGCTCTATCCAATGAACCAAACCAGCTAGGGTTCCAATGATTTTTTTTTTTTAGAGAGAATACAGGGGAAGGAAGAAGGGTGGAGAAGAGAGAGGGAGGGAAACATTGACATGAGAGAGACACATCAATTGGTTGCCTCCCGCACACACTCCAATGGGGCTGAGATCAAACTTGCAATCCACGCATGTTGAACCAGAGACCCATCGATGCATGGGCTAAAGATCTAACCACTGAGCGACACGGGTCAGGGCTGCCAACCTTCTACTTTTATATTGGAAGATTGAGTTGTAAGAGGAAGATAAACCCCAGAGAAGTGCACTTACTTTAAGTTCTAGTAGATAAAGAAATTTAGGCGTTTTCTAATTTTTTTTCAACGCCTCCCCCCTAAATCTGCCCCTCTAATTCCATGAGGCATCTAAAAAGTTAAAGAAATGGTGATTGACAGCTCTGAGATTTGACGTTCAGAAGGCCCGGAGAATTGGGAGTGGGCATGCCGGGGTTTAGACTCAAATCAGAACCTCTCCATTTAAGAAAATAAAGTAAAATAGTTGCAGAATGCAGGTTCTATAAGAATGACTAGAAAATGAGAATTTCATTTCTTACAGAATTTATCCAGTGCTTCTCAACTGTCTGAAGTTCCCTGAAAACTGAGGAAGAACTTATCTCCTGAAAGAATCTGGTTCAACATTCCAGAGAATTCAAGGGGAAAAAACAGCAACAAAACAAAAGGGGGCAGGCACTGGAAAACTGAAAAGACTGGGGGCGGGGGACACAATGGTACAGGAGGCCTGGGGCCATACTGAGCCAGAGGTGGTGGTGGGACTGCTGAGTCCATGCTTCTCATCACCCCACAGTGGTGCATAAAAGCCCTGACTGATATTTCTCCACGTGTGGCCTATTCACCATGCCTCAGATTAGTGGGGGGAAGGGAGGGGGTTTGTTAAAAACTCAGCTTCCTCGGCCCATCTCAGTCTTCCCGAATTAGAAGCTTGAGGAAGAAGTGGAATCTGCAAACAGCCCAGGGGCACAGTATTCTGATACTGCTTTCCTTCCTCTGATGTGGTCAGATAATAAGCCCTTATTAGGAGCCTGCTGTGGACATAGAAACATCCTAGGTGTCGTGTGGATATACCAAAGAGCGGAGGTGGAAGGTAGTTTTGTGCCCTAAGATATACACTCCAAAGCAGCAGTAGCCAACCGGTGGTCTGAAAGGTTGGCGACCACTGCTCCAAAGGACCCCATGAATCCTCAGGCACCTGTCTCCAGGTCCACTTCCCGGCTTCCCCGGACAGTGTTCATAGGAAGTTCCAGGGCCTCAGCCTCACCTGTGTCTCTTCCTACAAGAAGAAAACCAAATTCACATTGGCTAAATGGTTCCTTGCCCAGGTGTGGAGGAAGGGTCAACTCAGAAGTAGAGTGAGAGGGCTGGCTCCCACTAGAATCTGAGACACTCGGGAGAAGACGCTCTATGGGAGAGGAAAGGGTGGCGAAAGGCCTGGGCCCTACGACCAGGTATCTAGTCCTACTCCTCTCTCCACTGCATCATCGCCCCCGATCTCCACCCTTGATTCCCCTGACCAGGGAGAGCCTCCCTCACACCTCCTATTCCTGCACCAACATCAGCACAGGAACCCCAAGATGAGGACCCAGCAGGCTGACCACAAACCTGGCCTTGACCACAGATCACCTTGTGCCTCCTCACTTCACTCAGCAAGTGCCTCCCTCTCCTCATTTCCGTCCATCCGTGGTCAAGCCCATGGCTTTGGAGCCTGCTCTGTGAGATACAAATCCCCCAGGAGAAAAAGTGCTGTAAAGCAAAGGGGGGTGAGGCTGCAGCATCCCCAAGGTCCTAGGTGTGCAGGACACAGTGCTGCGCCTGCGCCACCCAGTGGGCTCGGCGGGAACTGCATGTCCCCGTGATCCTAGCTGCCTTCGCACCACTGGAAGCTGAGATCACCAGACAATTAAGAACAATGCCTGGCGCCAAGTCAATGCGGGTGTAAGGTTGCTATCATTCCTGTGCCAGTACCGAAGCCACTTTTAGCAAAAGAAGAAACCGAATGGTAGTAGAACTCATAGTGCGGACGAAGATGGTAACATCTACTATTTCAGCAGCGCTTTAAATTTCCCCAAGTGCCTGAGTTCTGTTGGACAGCGTGTGGCAGAATCAAGACGTCAGCAGCACTGTCATCAGGCGCTGTCTTGGAGTCCTGGGTTAAACATTACTTAGAAGCGCTCATTTATTCACTGGGCTGCCCTTGGCCTTTATTATACTTCAGTCCCTGAAACCTGTAAGACCGCTGCCCACAAAACCCCTCCTGCGTCCTATGGCTCTCCACACCCTCTCTTTTGGCCTCCAAAAAGCAAGCGAAGGAATATTTTCCGCTGGTAACTTCCTCGACCTGTGGAAGCAGACAAAGGCTCAGAGAGGGGGAGGGAGCTTTGGAGAAGGGGAGGGTGGTGTGCTGCCTCAAGCCAGGTGCTAATAGAACACCTGACTCCACCAGGGTGTCCTGCTGCCCACCAGCCCTTGGCACTGAGCCCTGGTTGATGTGGACCAGGAAGGTGGTACTTGGCCACCCGAGTAGATCGCCTCCAGCCCCAGGTTGCACCCCATGCCTGAGGCTACCTTGCAACCATGGATACTTCCCTGCAGGGGTGTAGGAGACTCACTGAGCACAACTGGCAGAAAATCAGGTCACTGTGAAAAAATATATATATATTTTTTTGCTTCCCGACACCAGGTAATCGCATGGCTTTCTCCAACACTTCAAGTGTGTACCCTTGTCACCTCCACAGAGGAATGTCCCCTCACCACCCTAGGCCAACAGCCCCACCCACATCCTCTATTCTGGCATTATTCTAGGCAGAGGGGACAAGGGCAAAGGAGGGACCACTGAGAGGTATTCAGAGCCAAGGGGGAGAGGGGAAGTGGTAGGCGGTGAGCGGTGAACAGGAGCATCTTGTTAGCCACAGAAAGGGGTTCTTGGTCTGAAAAAAATGGATATGATCTGATTACATTTTTAAAAGATCCGTCTGGCTGCCACTTGGAGAACTGATATGAGGAGGCTGAGCATCACAGAAGCAGGAGACTCATCAGAAGCCAGTGGAAGTGACTGATGTGCCTTGCTGTCAGCCAGAAGCAATGGAAATGATGAGCGGAGATAGGATTTGGGATATGTACCTGAAGGTGGAATGGACAGGTGCTGATGGATTTGGATGAGATGTGTAAAGGAAAGAGAAGTAAAGGGCCATGGAACAAACTCGGAAAGACTCTGAAGGCTGTGCTAGAAATAAGTAGTAGAGATGTATTCAAGAAACTTAGAGTTTGCAAACTGAGAACATGGCTAGGCAAAACCCCAGAAGTGTTCCAAAAGCCAGAGAAGAGTTAAAAGTTCTCGGAGTAAAAAGAACATTCTTGCGAATCATCGGTCCTGCATTCTTAGCCCATGGAGTTGGTCCAGGATAATTATCAGTCAGATGTCAGGTTGGTGGATGCTGGAGGCCTGTCACGTCCAGTGGTCTAGATAATAGATGTCAAAATGTACACATGAGTCCTTCGGGGTAATCAGAGGGTTATCTGGAGGTCCAGATGCATATCCAGGCACTGACTCAGGGCTGGAAAGTTCAGAATAGTTTAAGTTCCCAGGCTAGTTAGGGCAAGAATGGGCTCTTTCCTCATGCCTCAACCTTTATCATGTTAACAATTTTAGCAGCTTGATTAGAGTGTCTCCATTTTATATGGTCCCTCTCTTCACTCTTTCCTCTGGATCATACTTAGCATTTTGTCCGGAGCAATAGGAATAATGACAACTGCTAATATTCACTGTTACCCAGGCACTCTT